GGGAAAAGGCGATATTAAGGCGGGCAGTGTTGTGTCGAGAAACTCGGGTGGGTCGGTAGCTAGCGACGGGAAATCATTAGCTGGCAGGAGCGGTTTTTCAGATTTTGATGTGAGCGTGATGACAAGACTAATTCAATTGCAAGACGAGAATAGGAGGCAGGAGAGTTTAGTTTTCAGGGGTTTGTCTGTTCGGCGAGTAGCGTGAGGGATACATAAGTTTTTAAAAGAGAAATTGAATGTTGATGTGAATGTAGAGCATGTGAGAAAGAGTGGAAGTGGATATGTCGTAAAGTTTTACAAGAGAGAGGATAGAGATTATGTCTGAAAAAATAAATACAAGTTAAGTGGTACAAAATATTTTATAGAGATTGATTTAAGCTATGAGGAGAGAATAAGACAGGTTGGTTTGGCCAAGTGGGTGAAAAATGAAAAGGAGAAAGGTTCCCAAATAAAAAGTAGCCTGGGAGGTTTCTGGTCAAATAACAGATGGTGCAAGTGGTTAGACGAGAAAGTGTCAGAGAAGATTTGCGAGAGAGTTAGGCGTACGAGTAACAGTAACAGCTTTAACATCATGGAGGCTGAGCAGTGTTCAAGGCGTGGTGAGGAAGCAAAGGATGGAAAAAAGCAACATTATAATGATAGTCAGAAAGAGTTTACCAGAAGTATGGAAGAGCTTTTTCGGTAAAGCACAGAAAAAGGTTGTCGAATGAGGAGCAGCAGAAGTTTGAAATAAGTGCCAGTAATAATAATTTTATCTTTTGGAAGTGCGCGGGAATTTTCAATAAGGATAGGGATTTTTGGAATTTTGTGGAAAAGTATGATTTTATAAGTTGATGCAAAACGTGGTGAGAAAATAGAAACTAGAAAAATTTAGAACGAAAACTGTCAAATAATTTTATTTGGAAATCTCTTGATGTAATAAGAGAAAATAAAGGGTAGAGTGAAAGGGGGATTCTTTATAGGTGTTAAAAAAAATTGGTAAAAAAATGTAAATAACTTTAATGTAACCGTTCACAAAAATGTTGTGATGAATAGAATTATAATTAATAATGATGGAAATGTATGGTCGGTGTACAATCCAGGTAACTTACGGGAGATAGTGGATTTTATACAGCAGTATGAGTTTTTAGAAGGGGAGATGTTGATAATTGGGGTTGATTTTAATATTAGAACAGGTGATTTGGGTAGCTTTGTGGAAGGGGAGTCTGGTGAATTAAAAAAAAAACGAGCAAAGACGCAACGATCGGTAATGAAGGTAGACAATTAATGGATGTAATAGAGAACAAAGGGTTGTATATGATGAATGGGTGGTTTGAGGGGGATGAAAAGGGGGAGTACACGTATATAGGCGCGAGGGGAAGCACAGTCATTGACTATGTGTTAGTTAATTGTTTTGCTTTGGATTGACTTGAAAAATTCAATATTAGAGGGAGGGTGGATGCGGATCACGCTCCGCTGTCTCCCCCTGTACACTCCCCTCTGTCTGGAAGTGTACGGTTTCAAGGAAATCCTAAAGCAGGTATATGGAGTGGAAGTGAAGAGAGAGGTTTATTCATGGTCAGTGGAGGATGCTGGGAAGTTTTAACGGGTGACCGAAAAGTTGTGCGAAGAATACAAGATTACGGAAAAAGAGTCTGTGCAGGAAATATGGGAGGGTATTAAGAGCATTGTAAACAAAGCGGTTACGAGAAAAGAAATTAAATACAAAAAATGGAGGTTAGGCGAAAAGAAGTGGTGGAATAAATCATGTAGAAAAAAGAAAAGAAAAGTGAAGGCAGCGTATTACAAGTGGAGGAAAAATTTAGCAGGAAAAGAGGTGTATTTAAAAGAAAGAAAAGAATGGAGAAAGCTATGTGATTATGAGGCAGCACAGTTAGTGAGCATTAAATATGAAAAGGATGTATGTAAGTTTTTGGGTGTCGGTAAGGAAAAGAATGAAGTTGAGAATAAAATTTCCCTAGATACATGGAAAGAATATTTTAGAGAACTCGTAGGAGGTAGCTGCGTGAGAATTGTTGAAGCGAAGAGGCAGTTAGAGGCTGAGGATATGGAGAGTCTCACGAAGGAGGAAGTTCTTTTGGCGATTAAATCGTTAAGAAGAAGGAAAGTGGCAGGATACGATGAAATTATGAATGAAGTCTGAAAAAATAGTGGAAAATAGTTATTTGATAGACTGTTATATTTATTAAGCAAGATATGGGACTGAGAAGGTATACCGCAAGATTGGAACGTAGCAGTAGTAGTCCCACTTTTTAGGAAAGGTGATATGTATGTGGCAAAAAATTAAGGGGGGTATCTCCTAACTGCCGATAGCGTATAAAATTTATACAGAAGTTTTTAGATGCAGACTAGTAGAGGAAGTAGAAACGAAGAGTGAAGGAATTATACGAAGAGTTGACCATTATGGTAAGAGTAAAGGATACGTTCACGGAAAGATTTTGGAGTTCAAAGGGAGTGAGGCAAGGATGTGTCTTAAGTCCAATTTTGTTTTGTATTTATATTGCTGTTGTAGAAAAAGAATATAAAAATAGGAATGTATGGGGGGGGGGGGGGTAGTCATTGGCGTAATTAAGGTCTGGACGTTGGCATACGCTGACGATCTAGTCTTACTCGCATTAAACAGGGAAGCTATGTTAGACATGCTAGGATTATTAAAGAGATTTCCTAACGGGAGGGGATTGATTTTTAGTGTGCTAAAAACCAAAATTCTAGTGTTAAATAAAGTTAGAAACTGCGGAAATGAGTGGAACTGCTAAAAGAGTTTGGGGTCTGGGGGAGATAAGGTGTGAAAATGATTTTAACAGAAAGAAGATGCTGTTTAATTATTTGGTTAAAAGCTTTATGTCGTATGGGGCAGAAGTATGGGGGCTTAAAGAAAGGAAGTAGTTGAAAAAATACAGTTGGACTATTTTAGATCGGTATGAAGGCTTGATTTTTGTACACCGAGAGACATACTTTATAGAGAGTCCGGCACAGAAAAATTATGTAATGCATGGCGTGTGAGAGCGTTAAGATTTGAGCAAAAGATACAGAATTTAGAGGAAAACAGATAACTTAAGGTTTGTCGGAGATAAAAGGAGAGGCTGGATGAGTGTGATTTGTATAGTGTGGAAAGGAGAAAGTTTTGTAGTTACGTAGGTTTAAGTACTATGGTTATGAATCTAGAATTGAACAACAAAAAAGATATTGTTGCTGAAATTAGTCAAAGAATGAAAGACATAGAGATTCAAATACTAGATAGTAATATTAGGGATTCTAGATACAATGCGCAATACGTAAATATTATGACCAAAGAGCTGCCGAAGTACCTGAATAGATGTAAAAAGGATGGAGATATTAGTATTATTGCCAAGATAAGATGTGAAAACTTTGAAGTATGTAATGAATATTGGTTTACGGCAGAGGATAGGTTATGTATATTGTGTAAAAGAGAAGCGAGTACGTTGCAGCATATTGTAATTAGATGTGAGGTATGCGCGAATTGGTACGAAAACAGAATAGAAGTAAATAGAATAATAAACAAGTATGTTATTAGTGAGCTTGGAATAATTAAAGTAATCAAATTGTTTAAAAGGTATGAAAAGGAATGCTAAAAAGCGTCTATGAGAGTAAATATTGTACGGTAACATCGGGGTAAAATATTGTACGGTAACAGCGGAGATAAGTATACACAGAGCCTGGTACGTAGTGTGTGAAGGTGCGGTTAGAATGGGTTATGAAAGAGTAACTTTGTAAGTTTTTTTTTGTCCGGAATGTGTGGGATCGGATAAGTTTTGTTTTATTACCTCTGTAAACCAAGTTCTTTTTCTGGGCCTATCGGCTGATTAATAAATAAATATATACATTTAATAGACCTAAATCCAATCGTTTGATAATACGATTACCTGGAAAATTTATTACTATACATTAATAATGAGTTTTCCCAGAGATAGAGTGAATTAGAAAATCATATCAAAGAGGATTGGTGATTTTTTTTAAAGGTTATAATGCTCCCGTAAAATTTAGCTTTTATTAATAGTTAAATATTTTGAGCTAAAATTTTTTTAAAGTAGTTAAGAAGCTTTTATAAAATTAATACTAATTTTTTTTTTTTCTTAATGAACTGCTAACTCTTACAAGTTTTGAAATTGAAATTTAAAAGGGGTCTAGTTTAATTAGGCTTTGTTTTCTTTTGGCTTAACATACTTTAAATACGATACTTGTATCATACTTTTTCAATTTAAAAGCTTTAGAAATTCTCTATAAACTTCAATTTAACACATCAAACTTATCTAGCTTTTTACTTTTGCTAAAAAAAGTTACCGTTATACTTGAGACATCCGAAACGGTAGACCAATATAGTGACCGAAGTCATCTGATATTTATAAAATTCTTCTTCATATAATGAAAAGAGTTTTTGGGATTTCTGACTGAGGAGTACATATAAAGTTTTGAAAATGATGAAAAGGAGATGAAACATTACTATCAAAAAGTAAGAAGCTCTCGCCAATAGAACTTTTCATAGTAATTATTTTTTCGTGATACTATATGTGTAGTTTTGGTCAGTACTTCTAATTTTTATGTATACATATTTTCATTTATCCATGTACAATCAAATTTTGTCATACAAGATAATCAAGTCAGTGAACTAAAAGTTAACAATGAAATGGATGATGTGATTTTTACGTATTACGATATAGCTAAAAAAAAAAAAGAAATACTTTATTCAAAATTTGTCTCCATTTTTTGGTCTCGTACTGTAAATTTTTTTCGTGTAAGATTGATGCGAGCTGTTTCTTCTTTATGTGTATAGTTTCATTTTACTCCACTACTAAATTTTTCCGAGATAACGCATCACAAGTTTTACTCTGTGTTCTTTACCAGGTATTGCAGACTTTGAGTCTTACTCTTGCCCTCTTTTCTATAATGCAATTTTTTTTCCATCACTCTGTACAACTAATTTTTTAAATTATAGTTGAAATTATAATGAAGCACCGTTCCTAATAATTATAATTTTTTAGGTAACAAAACTGAATAGAGATCCTGAATCAGGAACCGCTTTACAAGAAATTTCGTTCTGGCTAAATTTGGAACGGGCTCTTCACAGAATTCAAGAAAAACGAGAAAGTTTAGAAATATCACTAACACTTGATATTTTAAAACATGGAAAACGTTTTCATGCAACGGTCAGCTTTGATACTGATACTGGCTTAAAACAGGCTCTAGCAACCGTAAATGATTATAATCCTCTTATGAAAGATTTTCCTATAAATGATTTATTATCAGCAACTGAATTAGAACGAATCCGTTCAGCCATTCAGCAAATATTTATTCACTTACGAAAAATTAGAAATACTAAGTATCCAATACAAAGAGTTTTACGACTAGTTGAAGCAATCTCTCGAGACTTAAGCCAACAACTCTTGAAAGTCTTAGGAACTCGAAGACTTATGCATATTTCTTTTGAGGACTTTGAGAACGTCATGACACAATGTTTTGAACTATTTAATACTTGGGATGACGAGTATGACAAACTTACTCAATTACTAAGAGAATTTGTTAAAAGAAAACGTGATGAACACATGAAAATGGTATGGCGTGTGGCTCCTGCTCACAAAAAACTACAAACTCGAATGGAACACATGAGACGTTTTCGACGTCAACATGAACAACTAAGAACTGTTATTGTTCGTGTTTTGAGACCGTCTAGGCACAGTACATCTACAATTGATAATGCTGATAATGATACAGTCAAAGTTGAATTTGTTTTTGATGCCGCTGATGCCAATGCGATAAGTGAAGTAAACTTAGCATATGAAAACGTCAAAGAAGTCGACTGTTTAGATATAACTAAAGAAGGATTAGAGTCTTGGGAAGCTGCTGTTAGTAGATACGAAGAACGAATTGAACGAGTTGAAGCTAGAATAACAGCACATTTGCGTGATCAACTAGGAACAGCGAAAAATGCTAATGAAATGTTCAGGATTTTTTCTCGGTTTAATGCTCTTTTTGTGAGACCTCACATCAGAGGGGCTATTCGAGAATACCAAACTCAACTTATACAAAGAGTCAAAGACGATATTGAAACATTGCATGAAAAATTTAAGGTAAGAAACTGTTTGATAAAGTGTTCTAACCTTTTTATTTTTAATCGTATATTCTATAATATGAGAGAATCAAGTGCCGCAGTCTTACATCTATAAATTAAATTTCTATTACGAAAATTTTTTACTGGTTTACAGTAGCAACATACATGTGTAGACAAAGGTAGTTTAAGGAATAAAATTTCTCCTGTCTTTCAAATTTGATCTTGTTCTATCAGTTACAAAATTAACAATGAGAAATTGATGAAAATTTGTCTACAAATGAATAAAGTCATGAAAATGGCACTGTCAACATTAGAAGGCATGAAGGTTCCTTGAAGCCGAGTAATTGATATTTGTAATTAGCTAATTTTTATGTGTAGGCCTATGGGCTGTCGTCTTTTTAAGCGCTTCTATTGCATGTACCTCGCTTATTAACAATGAACTTAAATTAAAAATTTTCTCCATGATAAAAGAATGTATAAGACAGACGACATACCAAACTATAGAGAGCGTCGCATAAACTATAGCGAAGGATTGAACCTCCTTAATAGGTTTTGTTTCTATTTGTGCTGAGGAAAAAATTAATTTTTAGGTAGCAATGTCACTTTATCGATATTATCAGGCACAATTGATAAAAATCAGTTTTAATGCATTAAAAGTTAAGGACTGAAAGAAAAATGCTACGAATTTTGTATTAACTAATTTAATATTAATAATATTAGATCATGTACATAAAAAATGAATCATTGTTGAGTCTCACAAGATAGAAAATTCAAAGACATTTGAAATAAAATTATTAATAAATACGAAGACAAATATAACATGAGGAACCAAATATAATTAATTCGTTTGAGTTTTTAGGTACAGTTTTGGTAGAAAAAGATAACCACAGATTATAATAAATTTCGTGATAGTGCTAACATAAGGCCTTTTTCCACTTGCTGCAAAAAAATAGTTGTATAGTCATTGTAACTTTTCCATACATTTTAGAAAAGGTATACATTACTTGACTGTATTATTTAAAAGTAAATTTTGTAATATAAAATAATGGAGATTTGAAAGCAAGACGTTAGTCCAAGCCTGTATGATAAATTTGTTAAAAATTAATTGTTTATTTTTTCTCTTTGAAAAACATTGCATTGTAAAAAAATATCGGTTTCGTTTTTTCTCAATTTAAAAACTCATAAGTCAACATCCTAGTGAATTTTCTTAATGTATAAATGTGATTCTGATTAATCTATTTAATGTTATTTCTCTTTCCCATCATTCGGTTCCGTCATTTAACTTTTTTAAACATGCCTCTGCTGAAATCTACTAAATATAAAAACATTATCTTTCTCTTTTAAAGCTTAGTAGAATCAATACTTTTTAACGTATGAGTGTTGATTAATACCTATATAAGTGTAAAATTTTGTGATAATGCCTCTGTCACGATTTTCTTAAACTTTTGGTTAGCTTGAACGTACTGTCATTGAATCCATGTTTGTGACCAACACGTTAAAGAAATCTATAAATTTTCGGTTTTTGATGCATGCTCTGATTCGCTCTTGTACTGTCAGTACTCGCTGTCGTCAGCTGAATTTTAAAACTCCGTATAATTTACTTATTTGTCACTGTTCATAATATGAATAAAATGACAGTGAATGTGTCTGATTATAACGGGAGCTATTATAGATTCAACAACATTATACACAATTTTACTTGTCTTTTTTATTTTGAAAGCCTGTAATTTATGCAAAATTAGCATTTATTTGTGCTTTGTGGAGCTCTTTAAATTATTGAAAAAAAAACTCACAACTTCTTTCTTACTTTTTTTTATGTGTACATTTGTTTGGAAGAATTGCACATGGTGGGTAGAATCCAGCTATTTAAGTTGTTATCAGTTTCCATATTTAATTTTTTTTTGTATAAGTGACGTATACGTTAGTCGATCAATTTCCGTTAAGATCGCACTCCAAGTTTTAACCAAATAAATAAAAATAGTGATGACTGACACGACAGTAGTGGAATTTTACTATTTTCGGTTGTTTTCTTTTAGAATTATATTTTACGTTACCAAAGTCACCAACTAATGTGGAACTGCAATTTTTGTATAACGACGCCTGAGGTCCCGCTTTCTGACCACAACTAGCCACCAATACAGATTCCTCCTCAGTAAAAATTCCAATGTGTGCTTGCTATGATGGCTTACAAGCCGTGAGCCCACCGTTACCGCGAAGAAGTACCCTGGATGCATCGGCGCTTTCGACGAAGAAACGTACATGACGGTCAGCCACTATTTACATTAGCATTGTAACGTGGCGTCAAGTACGTTTCTTCGTCGGAGGCGTAAGCACGTAAGTAGGATTCTCCTTAAAAAGGTATTGGAAGATAATGATAATAAGCAATACAAGTCTAAAGTACCCGTACCTCTGTAAGATTGTACAATAATTGAGCTCAATAAACAACACGATTTTTCTTTGATTATTGAATTATAGTGTGAATTGGATTAAAAGGTTCAATTTGATGGGCTTAGTTATCCTGAAACTCTGTAACAACTTGAATACAAGAGTAATGAAAATTGACCATTATTAAATTATTCCTTAGATAAGTAGTTAAAACGTTACGGTTACAAGTTTGTAGGGTAATAATGTCAATGCTTAAGTAATGAAGTATATGTGTTATAATATCATGCTGTTAGGTGTCACGAAGTTATTGTTTCAAGGAATTATAGGATCAGTATATCGAGTTTATCGCTGTAGTTAATTTGACTGCTTACTTACGTTCAACGATTCCAAAAATTTTCTATTATACAGGGTCGAATCCCAGGACTTTAAACTTGTTATTTTCGTATGGTTAATGAAATTAGAGATGAAAAATTATCATAATTTATAAATGATATTGCTAAAAGTATCTTATCTAATCCAAGTTTTCAAAAAACAACGTAATCCTAAGATAATTGGCAAATACCATATCTTATATAAGACTACAGAAAAAGTCTAAGATTCAAAGTTCAAGTGCTTTTTAATTAATAAAAAATTTAATCTTATCATTTTATAATTTGGCTACGGTTTGCAATTTGTTTCTGTAACTTAGTATTCCTATGCTTGTAATCTAACGATCTGGCACTTTTACTGGCGTGTTCAAGTGTAGGTGTGTTGAACATTGTACTAACACTTGACTAGTTTCTTTAAGTTAGTTATATGTCTTTATGAAACAACAAATAACTAGTAAGCTAAATTCTTTTAGCTCTTAACCTCAATACGTAGTTATTATCATACGTACAAGATATATTAATTTAGAACCTTTGTAATTACATATTTCAAGCTATAAGAACCACAAAATTCAGCAAGTTACATTCTTCCTGCTCTTAAACTTGAAACCCAGTAAATTTAGATGTTTCGAGCTTTCAATCCTGTAAAATCCAAAAAATTATTTGAGTAAAGCACTTAAAATCCTCGTAACTTGCAGCTTAGAGAATACATAAATTATGAACTGAGAAAGTTAGATTCTTCAAGCATTAATGACTTTGAAATCTAGTAAGTTGCATACTTTGAGCTTTTATCTAAAGGATTCAGTGAGTTACGTGCTTGAAATGACCAAGTCGTAAGAGATGGTGCTGCCAACGTAGCTAAAGTGTAGACAAGCAGTTTAGATACGTATATATACATANGGTAAAGATTTTAACTTTTCAATAAATAACGTAACTCTCACTTCTCATTACAAATATACTTTTTTAATAATAATATTCTAAATCATGTAAAAGGAGAACTGAAAACATATTACAGCATGGATCATGCTACTTTCAAGGGTGTTAATGAATCTGATATTGACATTTATGTGAATTTTCTAAATGAATTTCTTAACAATATTTGTAAAGGCTTATCTTCCCATGAGCATAATTTAAAAATTGGGACAATTTTTATGTTGATGAAAAATAGCACACCTAATAAACTTAGTAAGAATTTGAGATAGAAAAAACCAGTGCGCCATAGCACTACCTTAAGGGTGATGTAAAATATATTTTAATAACATGGTAGAATTATGTGGACGTCCACAATATTCCACTTTTGTCCGCATAATAACCCTTACATATAACCCTTATAAATATAGAAATATAGATATATATATATATATATATATATATATCCCTACATTACACAGCTGTATTAACAAAAGTAAGTCTTAGCCCCCCGCTCCTCCCCGCTTCCCGTGTGAGTCGCGTATTCTGCTGTTGTGAACTCATTCTCAGCCTGCATTGATAATAACACGAGTGATGTTGTTATTTTGTCTACTCAATCTGTTAATGGGGGGTTGGCGTGCGGAGCGTGCAGGGGGGCGTCAGCCCCACTAGCATATACATAAATATATATATATACATATATATATATATACATATATATATGTTTATCAAGAGGTGACTTATGCGGACAATCACATGTATGTAAGGGTTATTATGAGGACAAAAGTGGAATTATGTGGACGTTCGCATAATTCTACCATGTTATTGATATATATGTTGAAAGCACGTGAAGTCCGCATAAGACACTATTTATAAACACACACACACACACATATATATACACTATTGAATAAAACATAGTGTGGAGCTTAAAAGTGCGGACAGTAGTTGAGGGAAGCTAAAACTAATAAACTTGGTAGAAATTAATATTTTTATATTTTACAACCATTCCGACGAACGGTGCGTACAACGGCTCTGCATTGCTGTGTTACTAGGCACGTATATGCTATCGTAATTGGCAAAGTAAAAAATCTCGTCAGATTTAATTGTGTCATCAGTCACTTACACAAACAACGGGTGTGTAATCTTTCATTCAGTATGCTATAATTTAATTTCATTTGAAGTCGTTTCTTGTCGTATGAAATATACATATGCCAGCGGTATGATATAGTACTTCACAAGCACATGCTTGACAAAGGAACATTTTTACTGTACAAAAATATATCTGACATTTTTTTTATGATGTATTAAATTATGTTTTCATTAAGAGACTTTTAA